AAAAAAAAAAAAAAAACACATCATAGTAAAATTAATACCTTCTCCGCTTCGCATCGAAGCTAAAAAAAAAACTATATAAGTAGACTTCAGTATAATTTTAAATAGTAAAAGTAGGTAATTTAGTAATAAATACATACCATTTTGATATGTGCTTACATTCTCAGAAGTAAGATCTTGTAGTGCATTATTTACTTCATCATACCTTATTGATGTATCTATATCATATAAAATAAATAATTTAAAAAATATTATTAGCTGAGAACTTATTCAAAAATGATAAAATGTTTATACTAATTTGATATTATATTGATAATTGAAGGTTTATAAATGTTATATGGAACACTTTCTAGATCTAAAAAAAACACTAACATATATTACCTTGATAACACTTATACACTAAGTTTGTCTTTACCTATCATTTGATATATTTTTTTTGTAAATTTGACCCTTTATCTGCCCACAGGGGGGGATTTAAAAAGACAACTTTTTCACAAAAAATTAACTTTTTCAACTTAACTTTTGAAAATGTTCCGGAAGGTCTGACACTTTTATATATATCTTAAATTAAAGCTAATGTAATATACTTTAATTTGAAAAAAAAAAATTTGACCTNTAAAGCTTATGTAATATAATTAAATTTGAAAAAAAAAAATTTGACTTCTGGACTTGTCTTCATGGTGAAAATGGCTATCGAATGCTATTTTTGTGTGAAAATTCTCGATTTTATAATTTACATTTTTTTACATTTTTTAACATTATGTTGCTATAACTTTTTAAAAAATGCATGAATCAACTTTATTCTTTAATGATAAATACTTTATATATACTTCTTTCATTCGACATACTTTTTTTTAAAATCGGACCATTTCCCTTTATACAGGGGGGGTGCAAACCTTTTAAAATGCGTATAGAAAGTAGAACTTTTTCAACTTAACTTTTGAAAATGTTCCGGAAAGACTGACACTTTTATATATATCTTAAATTAAAGCTTATGTAATATACTTTAATTTGAAAAAAAAAATTTGACCTCTGGACTTGTCTTCATGGTGAAAATGGCTATCAAATGCTATTGTCGTGTGAAAATTCTCGATTTTATTTTTTATATTATATTTAACTTTATAATGCTATAACTTATTGAAAAGTGTATGGATCCACACAATTTTTTGTGATTTTGATTACAACTATGATAATGAAACTAAACTTCGTCATGTAATTCTAGATTTTGTATAAATTAATTACATGTATATAGAATTTTTAATTTAATATCTTATTATATTCCATGTATTCAGTGTTCTATACATTTATGTTTTATTCATTCTAAATACTATAAATTGTCTATGTATACATTATATCACCAATGTACGCTCGTTGCCCTAAAGGCCGTTAATAAATAAAATAAATTAAGTCTTCAACATAACATTTTATCATAAATGTAGAAATAAAAATAATCATATTACTATTTATTTATGTTATAAATAATATATCGTCGCCATCATACCAAAAGTAACCAAGTGTTTTTTTTGTAGTTTTGAGAATAACTAGTTTGATTATCGGTTAAAAATTCAAAACTTAACAAAAATTAAGTTTGTTAAACTTGATATCAATAAAACCGAAATAATAATATACTTACCAATATGGTACACAATTTTACTAGATAGTTATTATTTAAGTTAATTAATTGTAATTTACCAACTTAACTTCAGAGTAAAAAATGACCATGTAACAATGTTTCACTTGAACACTTATAATTGACCATGTAAAATGTTTGTAACTCTCCATGCGCCACGTGTTATTATCTCGTGTATTCCGTCGTCTATGGCCTTGAGACTGGACCAGGGATGGCAAATAGGTTTTGTTCAATGTGCCAATTTATGACGCAATTCAAAACAAAATTTTCAGCCTTGCCACTAGTTATTTTTTTAGTAAGACAGTAAATTTTTACAAAATATAGATGAAAAATTAATGATAATAATTATATAAAAATGAAAATAATATAAAAAAAACGGTAGCACAGTGGGGTCGCGGCATAGTGGAGACATTGCATAGTAGGGTCCAGTATAGATTTAATCTGACAGTGATTAAAATCACTATCATAAGAAACGCTTCGATGCAAATCTGTAGATAGTGTTTAATTTTAAAAAATTGATGGATAATTGCAAAAGCAACATCAACTTCTATTAAAATAAAATACAAAACCCATAATTATCATACAAAAATAGTATATTTTTCAATATGGTAGCCATTTGCG